CTACATTTCTTTGGCGTAATGGTGGAGGCGCAGTTGTGTATCAGCCAGGGGACTTGATAATGTTATATTGTCCTAGGAGAATTTCTAATAGGAGTATGAAATTAGCTAGATTATTTAAAGGGCCATATAGAGTAATAGGTCGATTAAGTAGGGTTAATTATATTATAAGAAAAGTGGGTGTAAATAGGAATAGATTGGGTAGGCAGGATCTAGTCCATGTGAATAGGATGAAAAAGTTCTTTAGGAGATAATTTAATGTTTTCTTGTTTTCTATTAGGTTAATTAATCGTTTATGTTTTCTTTTCATGTGGAACCACATTGACGTTACGAGGAATATTTGGAGAAAAATTAATATTTTCCTGTACATGCAGACTTGGAAGGAAGGGAGGAGAAGATACACCATCAAACAGATAAAACTTATTTGTTCTTGTTTATTTTTTTAAATTTGATAGATATATTGTCCTGTATGTGCGAATAGTTCCTGCTCATCCCTCCAGTTGATCAAGGACTGTCTGCATTCTGGGAAAATATATTTATTTAATTAATTAGACGTCTTTCATATGGGATATATCCCCATCCCATATGTGTCTTAGGATATGTAGTTAGAATATGTTGTTGGCGTTATATGTGGGTTGGTTTTTGTTTGGTTAAAGATAGCAAGTGAAGCTGATGGAACGTGATAGCTGCAAAATGAGGACTAAGGCAGCTGGGAGATCAATAGTGATGTAACCCAGTGATCGTCCGATGGATGTTCAAGCCTGTGTCGTCGTGGTGGCAGCATGCGCGTTGGAAATAGCTTAGGTTTAGGGAGTTTAGGGAAATAGTTTTGTAGCAATGTTTAGAAGTTTGATAGGGTCGTTCAGCCAGTTTAGGGTCGATGAAATAAAGTGTTAGGGTTTAGTCAGGTTCCCTATTTAGCTAGGATAGCGAGTAATTATATTTTTTTTTTGATTTGTTTGTTTAGGATGTGGTCATGGTCTGTCTTTTTGGATAGGTTTTTGGCAGACCAAAGCCATAGCCTCCTCGGTGGTTTACTTGTTGGTAAGTTAGTGACTTCCGAGCAGTGTGTGGCTAGCCTGTAGTAAAGGCTGATCGCAGATGTAAGTTGCCTATCATAGGTAGACCATCAGCTAGGGATGTTCACCCCTTCAGCTGTGAGGAAGAGGGATGTAGACTAGGCTGTACTCTATGAGTAGAATTGCTGGCTGAACATAGGTAATGATTATAGTTTGTATTTGGAACGCTAAGAAAATAAGGGAGGATCTTGACATATCATAGTAAGATTATTGATTTGTAACCCTAAACATGAAAATGGTAAAATAAACCAAAGTTTTAAGATGATCCAGGTTTTATATTATTAAAAGTACCTCTCGCACCGCATCTGAGCTACAGCCCTCTATTATAGTACACACGCCAGCACATCAAGCTACACATTGACGTATCTTGTTCCGTTGCACTGGAGGCGATTTTCGAACAAAAATGTGTAGTCTGCTGTGCCGTTGTTCGTACTACACGGAAAATTAATTGCTCGAAGATTAATTGTAAAAAGTGACGGTACGAACAAGTCTTGGGCCCGATGGTAAGCTACACGCCTATCCATAAAACAATTGCAGTGCCACTCAAAGTTTTCAATCGCCAAGATGTGAGAGGCTCTGCCGCTGCGCACGTCCCCTAAGGCAAAGTTTGCAAGTCACATGCGCCTATAGTTTTACTAGCACCCTGAAGCTTCAAAACTGTAACGCAGTAATGCTCATATCACCGCAAGGCCGCAGATGAACTCTTTCACAAGGTGAGTGCTGCTACTATATAGACATAATACGTACTATATTGCTTTATTAACAAGTAATTTAAGTAACATATTAACACTGTCCTTTCCTAAACGACACATGTTCTGACAAGCTTTTATTTGCCGAAAGTTGTGTAACAAATAAAGATAAAAATGACGTACACGCGTTTGACAATATAAGTAAATTATAAAGTATATTGTAGGGCAATACGTGTAACGCTTTATTCCAACGTAATAGGCAAAGACAATAGACTACACAAAACAATTATAAACATAAACAATACTGGGCAGATAAATGTAAAGATAGTGAACACAACTGCCAATTAAAATGTTTTGAACGTGATATCTGCCAAGAAATTAGTCTAGTCTAAATCGACTGAAGCATTTATTTATTTACGAGAAAACTACATAATAATGAATTCGATAATTAATTTTCCTGTCAACAAATGCATAATGATGTTCAACATAAATATGCGATATGCGAGATATAACCTCGTGTAGCAATTTAGGGAGGTTAAACCGGGGCGCAAATATACCATATAGGGGCGTAGAAATACCCAACTACTACACCGCACGGACTAATAAACGAGTAACGCGAGCCTAGCATTGCTCCGGATAGAGTAATCTATCAAGATAACATGTTCCCTGGTGACTCCACACACAAAACAATCCAGTTCCTCTGAAACTACATTGTTAAACACCTGTGTTCTTTTGTCTCGTGATATTAATTAATGCATTGTTTACGATGTACCGCGTATCGGTAATAGTAGTCGTGTCGAACAACTGTCATAATGACACTGTAGGTTGCGATGGTGCGATAACAGAAATTAACAATAAAAAGCCATGGTTTGGTACATTTTTGGTTATGACATTAAAATATGCTTTTGTGTAACATAGGGCATTGTAGAGGACGTTGGAGGAAATTGTCACTTAGTCATCCGGCGGCCAAATTGACACTGTCGCCCTCTTGACCCGCCATCTCACGTGTCAAGTGACGTCCCCAACTAACAAATGAAACGTCCGTGTGCAAAGGTAACTATGTATCTGCACTCCAATTTTCTACAAACATAGTTGAATACAAAACTGAAGACGTGAAACTTAAAACAGTTGAAACCTTTATTGAGATTGATGATTCTGCAGCGTATACGAAAATAACCGGCACCAATATTGATCGAATTCGTATCTGGTCGCATTCCAAGCAATTATATGTAAACTTGCGGCTGAGGAAGTGAGACGAACAGAATTGACAGCGCGACGGACTCGATGCAAATCTGCGTCGCGCGTAGACGAGCCGTCGTGCGAACGCACTTCATCATTGTATAACGAGCTTACTAACCACGTCATAGAGCACAATTTAGATTATGATAACATTGTTGTCAGATGACATACAGGGACAAAGAATAGTGAGCCTTATGATGTAGTTGAAGATTCTAAATTGGACTATGAAGCAGAAGTGGTGGCAGCAGATATGGCCGGGAGAGACAGCTCCGGCAATTTGCCTATTGCCGGGTTCAATTATCGCCCCCCCGCACTCATTACTGAATTAAGGCGAGAGCGACAGTAAATTTTCGTGACGCCTCAGCTCGGGAATTGGAAGGATGTTTTATTTAACCGGTTGTTACCTGACTGCAGAAATAAATTGCCTTTGATAGTTATGAATTGACTAGATTTTTATTACAATAATAGTCGTGACTTGTCCTTTTGTGACCTTACAGGCACTTAACGAAAGTAAACCAAGAACACACTACGCACGCTTATCGAAACAGTTACCGTAAACAATAACACGAATGAAATATGCTGTATTGTCAACAATTAATCTTGGATTCAAATATACATTGCGTAAACAAAGAAAAAAGCAATAAACTCGGATTATGAAACGATATATCGATCGTTTATGAGTTTTTAGTCTCGATGACGGTTACGATAATCACTAAAGCGTGGGAGAGTAAAAGCATTATAATAAAGCGAGCCAACCGCGGCTATAAAATTAACAACTTCCATTCGGAGTGTCAGGACCATGGACGGGTTTAATGAGGGAAATTAATTGATGTTTAAAAATAAACGGTCTAATAGTGTCATTAATAAAATAAGTGAAACGCTAATGGCGAAAACGAGACTTGGTATAGACATTGTATAATTTAATTTCACAGGTCACAGACTAATAGAAGTAACTTACAATTTTGAAGTAAAAGTGTAATTTGCATCACAACACCAAACCTACAACTCTGAATGGCTTTTAGTAAGTAACTTTCTTTTCATTCATAATAAACGTGACGATATACGACGGAAAGTACGCTTTAAAAATACAACAAAATACTTGGCAAACCCATACAAGTGTTGAAGGTCCTTGAGATAATAAAATACATAATTATTTTGAACTAAAATCAACACTTACCTGACTTCAAACGGTTTCTAATACAGTTCTGGATGTTGTTACACGAATTAATTACCACAACGTCACATAACTCTTTAAGTACAGATTGCTAATTAGCAAACTTTCAGTTCCAATATTGACAGATTCTATCACAGCAGAAATAAGATTGACGTTAAATCATGGGGAAATTAAAAAATAGCTTGAATATCGTGTAAAAGATAAGACAACGCTAATAAATTAAGTTTGTCAATTTCCAAGACAAACTTCAACGAGCGTTTACGATAATACGATTTGGAAAGATCGTACTAGATATATGAGGATTAAATTATTCAAAAATCAATTTACTTGGCAACGTACACTGTAATTATGTATAAACAAAGGTGCTAATGGCAAGCAATGTTATCTGAGGACGAGACCTTTTCAGGGATTAGATTACAATTTCTAATGGACACCGGAGTTACATAAAACGGAAAGTGTAATGAAGGTAGAATTTCTAATTTTGAACGTTGACTAAATTATGAAATTATAAAAGCGCTGTATTTGTGACGTAGTTTTACTGTAGGAAGATTACCTGTATAATGTCATTTTTGAGATCGCAAATAATTTCCCTAGGCGATCGAGCTAAATAAAACAAATCTTAAATCTCGGAATTTCTCCTCCAACAGAAGTTTTTACAAGCGAAATCATGAATAAATTAACTGATGTGAGTTAAATTATTTAAAATTGTTATTTAAAAGTTAACAGTCCTTTTAGGCAAATCTGCTCTTGTACACTTGAATGAAAAAATTTCTTAAATGCTGTTATTGTAACTAGGTTAAAAGAAAATGATAATACACTCACCAGGCATGAAGTGCAGCAAAGCGGCTGTGATGGGGTAAAGACTAGGGCTGTATGTGATGTCCGGGCAGGCATAACCCAGGACTGAGACGACTCTGTCAGCCACGGCCCGCCCTTTGCGGGTCAGGTGGTAGCCGAGGCAGTGTGTTGCCTCCACAAACGGAGGCAGCATAATTGGCTTATCCGGCAATTCCACTGTGCCGAACACCTGAGGACAAAGAAAAAGACATTCAGTCACACATTACTAAACTACGAAGGAAAAGAGAATGTAAATAGGTCAAATTAGGAGAAGAATCTGTTAAGGGTATAAACGTACTTGTTATTCTACATACTATACAAAAATAAAAACCATAATTGTGACAAAAGATAATCTTTACAGTGAAGGACATAAAATACAATTTAAGTAAACAAATAAAACTCTACCTACAGTTAACACATCTATAAGCAATAATTTAAGAAACTAGGTTAAATAGGTTGGTACGGTTTTCAATATCTATAACAGAGGACATAGCAAGACGGCAAAAAGATATTGCTTTAGTTAGGCGACTCATTACCTTAACAATTAATATTACAACACGTGCTAAGCAGTAAACCGATGTAAACATCAATGTTGGCCTTGCGAGACTAACGTTCATTCGCACTACTAAAACACTTTGTTGCGTATGCGCTGACAGATGCTGTTACCAACAATCATATTGTCCGTTTAGCGATGTGAATTCTGGAGCAAGTACACAAAAGTTCTGTTACGTATTATATCAGAACGTATGCAACTCCTGCGTCAACCAATTACGTCATGGTGACAATGGACACAATCAATAAAACAAAAAAATCATAATGTGTTATTAGTGGTCGGATATTAGGATGTTTCTATACTTTAACTTCACCTTTTTTTAAATTGCCTAAAAAAAATTTAAACATGGAAGTGACTTCTTAAAGGACATTTTACCTTTTAAATCCCGGGATACCGGAAAAGCATAACAATGACCAGGATTTGAATAATTGGATCGCAGGTCTGTGAACAGTTGGAAGTGTCAAATTTAATGATAGTTTCGGTAAAGTATCATGGAAGCTACGAACATTTTTCTGGAAGTTTTTAAATTTTTCATTTTAAATTAAATAAACAAACGTTTATTTAAATATTACACCAAATAACAAATAACCTTAAAAAACATTTATTTACCAATTCAATAATTTCATCAACCATCAAATTCTGCAAAATCGAATTGTAAGTAAAAGGCATCCGATTATCCGACCAATAGTTATTAGGAATTAGTTCTTTTTAATTTACCATTTTGTTCTTTAAAAAGACATACAAATTATTGACTCGTGTTCAAAGAATTTGTCACGATTTCCTACAGCCGTGTCACATTATGTAATCCTCCTTACAAATCTCTGCTGTGCTTGTGTATCTTGTTACGTGATATTACATCTGCTGTGGACAACACCACCAAAACATGTTACATGTAATTATCTACCTTTACAAGTATTAATTGGACTCTCTCAAATAGTACAACGACAATAACCGTTAAATAGCAGAAGCTGCAGAAGCCTAGTTTTAGTAGCAGTAGAGTTCATTGTGAAAGAATTCGTCCTCGTGCCACCTTACCTATTTCTGTCACCAAGCAATGTAAGTAATGTGAGCATTACTACGTTCCGGTTTTGAAGGGTGCTGGTTAAATTACAGGCACATGGGACTTGTCTTTTTATGTCTCATGGTGACAGACGCAGTGGCAGTGCCCCCCTTTTTGCGATTTAAAGCTCTGAGGGGCACTGCAACTGCAATGGACAGGCGTGTCGCTTACCACAAGGCGCACGACTTGTTCGTCCCGTCACTAGGTGTCACATAAAAATGCCCCTAAAATTGATAAGCTGAAAACTCGATACTAGAGAAATCCAAAAAAGGCTAAGACAGTAAGCAAAATTAAGAAGAAATAGAGAAATATCCGCAAAAGAAGAAGAGGGGAACGTACTTCATGAAAAAAATGTGTCATAAATATTAACACGTGTAATACTTGTACAAAGAATTGTAAATGAAATCCATTCTTTACGTCTTACAAAACCAAAGAATCAATAAAAACAAAGAAATTATGATCAAGATGACGGTAAATATTAGTATGTAATCAATAACTATTCATCTCTAGTTGGCTATAAAAATTGTATCTAATGAAGAACACAATAGCCAGTTATTTATATAATACGTTTGTTGTAGAAAATGTCATAATAGATAATAATAATAATAACGTACACACTCAACATAGCCCCGCCCTAGGGAAACCCTGTGTCGCGAGTGCCATGGATGCACACATAGACAATCACAAATTACACCCAAACTCACAAGAGAAAGAAATAAATAAATAAATACATGTATGGATTGACGCGTACATCGTTGACTGTGGACAATTTCCATCGTATATAAAAAAAAAGTATATGGAACACCTTAATTTGGATAAATAACATTTAAAAGCCGATGATGATGTGACATGTAATAGTTTATTCTATAATTAAAATGAACCTGACTAACAAGCCGAGACAGCAATCACACAAAATGATATCTAAAAATAGGTGCTCCAAAAGTCACCATCTGTAAGCTAATAAGTCGTCGAGATCAATTTAATTTATTTATTTATTTATTTATTTATGATATTAATGATTATGATATTAATGAGCCCAAACACGATAGTTCTACAGTAAGTAGTTAAAGCGTTAGGTAGTCTGCACTTTCCTGGTTGCAGCATCGGATTAAAGTTACCAAATTATGACTGACATCCCTATACTAACTGGGAAAAGAGCTGAAAGAGCTTTAAACAGCTGAACAGACAGATGTTCATCAAATATAGCTAAGAACCGTACCGATTGAATTAACCTTCAATTGAAAAAAAAAAATCATTTTAAAATGAGTCCTTCCGTTTGGGAGGTACGATAATAATAATAATAATAATAACGCACACACTCAACATAGTCCCGCCCTAGGGAAACCCTGTGTCGCGGGTGCCATGGATACACACATAGACAATCACAAATTACGCCCAAACTCACAAGGAAATAAATGTAGGCCATACAGATATTTCTCCCGGCCCGGGAATCGAACCTGGGACCTCTGCGTGGCAGTCCGGTATGGTTATGGCGATCACGATGGTTACGATGGCACAGACATACACACAAACAAAGGCTTCAAACTGAAGGAAGGGAGTCATATGCTATTTTTTTCCTCGAGGGTTAAAAATTAACCTAACAAGACGACAGAATTTACTCTAAAACTCTAGTAATAATATTATACGATGTATTGGTAAATAGCTCATTATTTCCAAGCGATTAGGCGACAAGTGAAGTGAAAATTCACACAGTCTAGTCGAGACATTGAATGGCTGTCGATTGTTAGGTTTTTTCTCAAAGTATAGGTAAACGCTTGTCAATACTGTCTTGAAGTTTTTATTCAGTAAACTTTGTAAATTATGGTACCGGACCTCACCATTGTTTAGATGAATTCTTCTATTCTTGCTTTACATTTTAATATCTATCTCAATATTATTTAAAAAATACAAGTTCTATTTCTATTGTTATTAACACTGATAAATCTAAATCCAAAAAATTGCTGTACCTCCGTTTTTTTTTTTCAACAAAATCCAACCGGCCAAAGCATGTTCAGCAAATATATACCGTAAACACTTACGTATATGAATTCGGTATACATTTGTTACGCAGCGGTACACTCGTGATTATCCACTTTGGCAGCAAGGCCGTCTCTAACACAAATTATATATTTCGCTTAAGTTGCTTTATTCAATTTAGCAAATATAGTCCACTTCAGGTCTGTACAGTTCTCAACAGGATCTTTCGGTGGTTTGGTATAATCTTCACGTATATCGGACATCAGCCTCAACAATGACATAATAATGGCAAACGTGGCAAATAATATTAGCGAACATTAGATTAGATTAAATAAAGATGACCATTTTTTTACACAAAAACTCGCTAGGATTACGAAGAAATCGAAAAATCAAGGATGATTGGAATTACTCACTAGTTTTATTTATTTTCTCTAAACACTTACTATATTACATTGCTTGTTTCCTTCACACCCTTAAACCACCATCAGTCTGGGTGCTGCACAGTCCTCTTATAAACCTATCAAATACGCGACAGAATAGTAACTTCGTACAGAGTTATACTATTATTAAAACTAACAATAAAGGTTTGTTTCATAATATAATTGGAAATATTGGAAACTTACAATGTTGAAACCGACGTGGGACACGACACGTTAGATGTATACAGACATTTTCTAGGTAGACTGGCAATGTAATTAAAATTGAAAATGAATCATAACATAATATTGAAAAGAACGATACAGCAACCATACAATGTCATGTAATTTCATGACCGTTATCATTGGGTATTACATTGTGTTTATCAAATTTTATATCTTTGATTATTATCTTTTTGCAAGTTTTATCTTTATAAAAGGTAGCATCGTCATCAATAAGTGGATTTCAAAAAGTAGCCACATAAACCACTCAATATTTCCTTTGTATCTTTATCATAACGTAATTTTCTGTAAAGAACAATGCATAACTAAATAAAAGGTTCGAAGTTCGAGTTGAATATTATCAGTAAAATGTAGAGATTTCGCGATGTACTGCAAATTCAATTAAGCAAGCCGTTCCTAGTAAATTGAGAAATCAAATATTTTTACTTATCAAGACGTCGGTCGGTCTGAGCAAACATATATTGGATGAGTTAGATCAATATTTTCGTTTGACGATAAGGTTCATTAAGATTTGAATTGACGTGTTGATCTTTCTGAGTCATCTTATCAGGTCAACAATATTAATATGGACGAATGTGTTGTGCGTCTGGTGTTAAGCGACACGCCTGTACATAGCTGCTCAAAGATCTGAGAGACACTGCCACTGAGACATAAATTGACAAGTCTCGTGTGCCTATAATTTCACCAGCACCCTTATTACCCTTCAAAACCGGAGCGCAGAAATGGTCACATGAACACTTTTCGGCAGAAATATCAAAGTTACTAAATTACTGTAAAGTGATCAGATTATCAAAGAATAACAAAATTCAAGTCAAATATGTTATGACTGATATCCCTATACTAACCGAGAAAAGAGCTGATGATTTTACACCTGGACAGATGTTCATCAAACATAGCATAGGGATGACATAGGGAGGTGCGATGCCACATACGGAGTCATA